TATATATATATATACACATACATGCAGAGATGCAGACATACGTAAATGCATGCGTGCATGTACAACATAGTATATCATGCCGTAGCATGGCAGACGGTACAACAAGATGGTAAGAAAATGGTATACTGACAAGGCATAACCATAACATAATCATAGTAACAAAATAGAACCACCTGACAGAACATATCGTTTGTCTAGCATAGCATAGCACAGCATAGCGTCGTGCCATGTAGCGTGGCTACGCATATATGCACACCTGCACATCTCTCCCTCTATATAGATTTTCCCCACACATTTTTGAAATTCTACGCGTATGAATGTATGTGGATAGACATACACCTATATATATATATACACACAAATATACACATATGTATACATACACACACACACATATATATATATACATATATATATATGTATATGTATATATATTTATATACATGTATATATATATATACATATATACATACATACGCATTATTCAAGTTTATGCTTATTTGTGTGTCTGTGTGTGAGGCTGTGTGTGTGTGCGTGCAGTTTATACATGCATATATCAATGCAGTATGTGTATATATATATATATATGTGTACATATATACACAGATATGTGGGAGCATATATCTACAGCTATCTTTTTATCTTTGTCTATGTCTATATCTAAATCTACATCTATACTAACTCTGTATAGATCTTTGCTTCCATATCTATGCCTATCTGTACATCCATATCTACATTTGTCTCTACACACACACATATATATATATATACATATGTATGTATGTATGTATGTATGTATGTATGTATGTATGTATGACATACATGTGCATACGTGTGTGTGTGTGTGTACAGAGAATCAAACAGCAACTCACGAAGGTGGAGTCGACAGACGCGCAGCATCCGACGAAACTCCGCCAATCCGACACCCAACCTGGAGTTCCCGACAACTACTCAATTTTTGTTAAGAATTTCTCCCTGAAAAGGAGTCCGTACCCAAGAGCCGCAGGATTTGAATCCACCCTCCATCAATCTTTGCCTGCAAAGGACTGGGGTGGGGGCATCGTGCTCTCCATGGCCCTGCGGAAGAAGAGCCTCAGTCTGTCTTGGTGCCCGTTCAGGTTTGCAAGCGTAGCAACCCAAAGCCTCCGCCACTCTGCCGTCTCCTGCCGCCTGTTTCCATCACAGCTATGGCCACCTCTTCGCAACAATGCGCCCGCTATCCGCTATGGCACCACGGGTGACGGCTTCTCCGGATTGCCCTGTGTGCACAGCTCTTTCCATCGCTGATGCCGTGCTGATCAAACAACGGGCTTCCTTGGTCGTCGTACGGTTAAAGGTTTAAACCCCTATTAGGGAATCACGGGGAATCCCGTGATTCTTGTTGCTCGGTATGTCTTCAGATAGCTGTGATGCTTTCCTGCCAGATTTATAACTCGTGCCTGAGGATGTGTTTCAGCCTTTCAACCAGGTACTTCTCCTCACTGTCCTGAATCATGATCATTACTGGAGAGTTCGGCCTATCGGCTAGCCCCCATGAGTGCTAGTGTCTGTCGATGTCTGTCGCAAGCTGCGTCGAATAAAGTTCGCGTCTTCGGTGCGAAGTCGCACTATAACCCGGCAGCGCCTCAGAAACCCTAAACCCCTAAACCCTAAACCCTAAACCCTAAACCCTAAACCCTAAACCCCAAAACCCAGAAAGGGAACCCTAAAGCCCGCTGCTTTTCGAACCCAAATCCTCCCGCTTCTCATGGCACGGCTGAAGGTTCTAAGCATTTAAAAGCCTCAAGGCTGAAAGCTATGCCGAGTTGAAGCGTTGGTTGGCCTTGGGCCAGGGACTCCTTTATCTTTTCAGTTCCGATTTCGCCTGAGCCGGTTTGTGCGGAGTGTCCACGTTGCGAGAGCTGAGCCTTACTCCCTGCAACTTAGGAACCGGGTCAGCAAGCTGGTTTCTTTCCACCCGTCCTACACGCCGCCCAAGGGCTTCTTGGCAGTAGCCGTGCTAAGGCAAGGTAGCAAGTCGGGTTCTGGAATACGACTTCAACGCAAGAGGGCGGAACCCTGGATCCAAGGCCGTTGAACTGGGAGATTTGTCCAAACACTTGAACGCAAGCTTTCACACAAATCGTCCGACTGGTCAGTTCTTCCGAGGTTTCGCTTGCCAGGCACAAACGAACTTTAGCCTTGCATCTTCAAGGCTGTTAAGCCCTAAACCCTAAACTTCTAAACCCCTGAACCCTAAACCACATGCCTCGCCTGGATCGTCCGAGTGGGAGCGCCGAAACCCGGAACCGCACCCCTTCTCTCTGCTAGACTCGCTATATCTCACATAGAGCACGTCTCTAAGGACCCTAAGCCCTAAACCCTGAGTCCCGGGAGTCCAAACCCAAAACCCCTTACCTGGAGTGTCCGAGTGTGAGCGAGGAAATCCCTTACGTTACCTGATCCCCCTTGCGTGCAACCCACGTGAGGTCTGCAACTAGGTTACACACAAGCGACGGACCTCAGCACAAGAAAGGCCTCAGTGCTCGTTAGACGGGTGCTATTTTGTTGTCACGCGTTTTCCGTTTCGACTTGCCCTTTCTTGTCTGTCGCTCAGCAGATCTCGAACCACATGCCTCGCCTGGAGTGTCCGAGCGTGAGCGCCGAAACCGCCCATTGAGACCAAAACCATGAGGTCCCAACAAGCCCCAAGCGATCTGGCCCAAGCCTTCCGGAATCTCGGGAGCCCCCCCCCCGGTTCATTGCTTTCCTTTTACCGCTTAGGGAGTCCGGTTGAGGGTTATGATGTTAGGTTGAGGGGAGAGCCTCGGACTAGAAACTCTTTCAACGCGCCAAGGGCGTTTCGACCTTGCGATGATGAGCAGTCTGTGCTTGCTTTCTTTGTTGAGTGAATCAGGGTACTCTTAGCTTTACCTTGATGTCCCCAAGCCAAGCCACAGCAAGCCCGTCCTCGGAATGCCAAACCGCAAGGTGAGAACCTCAGCGCAATGTCAGTTCCGGTGCTTGTCCTCTGGGTCAAGGACGTAGCACGGAAATCCTTACACTAATCCCCTAAAAGGACCCTTGCAAAGGAACCCTTACAGCAATCCTCAAGAAGCTTCGAAGCCCTACACGATTTCGGGTTTAGTGGGGGCCGTTGCGAGGCATTGAGCCTGGGGGCCCAGAAGCCTCGAAGCTTTGGAGGAGGACCAGTTCCACAACCTCACCAAGTGGCGAAAGCACTTCGAGGCCTCCATACACTCGTCCTTTCGGGGGTTCCTTTGAGGCTTTCTTTATAAGGGCTCCTCTTTAGGGGTTCCCTTTGGCGTTGAAGTCTTCGGGATCACCTTCAGCCCTTCCCTCTATAACGATTCTATGAACTAAATGAAGGTGCCTCCTCGAAATCGAACTCTGCACCCAACTCCAAAAGAGATGTCGATGCGGGCTTTACATCTAGGTCTCGAGGCTGAGAAACCCAAAAGCCGCAAACCCAAAATGCTGCAAACCCCTTACGGGAAATCTCCCAACACCCCCCACGTCCCCTCAAAAATCTGGGACCCCGCACTGACACCTTGTTCAAACTCACTGCTTCTTTGCACTGAGGCGCTCCCATCGGGAAAGCGGGAACTAGAGGCAGGGGGTTGCATGTTCTAGCTTCGGGCCGACCGGTGCTGACTCGCAATCGTCAGGCCCCGAATCATTCTACTGTCCAGCTTCAGAACCTTTTGCTCAACCCAACTTGGCTCAAGCCTTTGCGAGTCTGCG